ATACGCGGGGCAGCCTGAGCACCCACGCTCAGGAGTGGAATAGCATGGTCGTGGATGCTCAGCGAGGGATTCTCCAGGGGTACTGGTACCCTCCTGGGGTAGTTTATGACGTAATTCCGCTACCATGTTGATGGGGGGGGGGGAATTGGGCATCCGGTCACCTGCACTCACCAGACGAAACGCGGAAGCAGAGCTTCCACTTCACGCCGGTATTCTGTGAGGTCGTGGTACTAACCCGGTTCGAGCCGGCCCATACGTGCAACAGCAAAAGCTGCTGCAAGGCTCTACCACCGTTATTTCTCATCATTATACGAAACATGCATCTGAATACCAATTCTGTGCGTGAGTGGTTCTTCTCCGGTGGAGCGGACACACTCGCGTTGCAGATAGACGTTGCAGCTTGGCTCAATCATACATTAGAAGTCGAAGAATTTGCCATAACTGTCATTCTCAATATGATTTAACATTGGCAATATCAGAACAAGTTTCCATAAACTTTGCCAAACATTTGACATTTTCAAATTGGATTAAAGTTGGTAAGTGAAGTAAGGTATCTGGTGTATCTGGTGATTACCTTGTGGCGGTGAAGGAATACCCTATATCTTCCCGTGGGTGTCGTAAGAGGGGACAAAAGGAAATTGAAGCGAGTGATAGGCAGCAGCATCTTCCTGATAAGAACTTAAAATAACAATAAAAAACTTTAAAAAAAACGTGGCAAATATGGCAATTATCCCCCTATGAGGCAATCTATATAAAGGTCTATGTTCAGTAGTGGACTTTAATATGTTATAACGGTAACGATAAGTTTTTTTTTTTTATAAAATTCGGGTGACAAACGCGCACACAGTCCACCTAATGGTAAGTGGTTGCTGTGGCCCATAGACATCTACATCTATCTTCGTTTGCGAATTAAAATGCAGATGCGTTGTCAGCCGTGAAGACTAAGATAGAATGCCTCTTTTCCAGTAAAATAGGTCCCCGGTTCTCTACACTCACCACACAAAACACAGCAGAATTAAGCTGCTATTTTACGCTGGTATTCTTTGGGTGTCTGGAGGCTTCAGCATTTAAATCAAAATCAAATCGATATTTTTTTTGAATAATCAGTTGCCGTATTATATGCACAAAAGCTAACTCATCAATCAAGTAATAAAATAAAAATATACAGTGTATACTAATAAATTAAGTACATAAAATACTTAACTTCAATAACACATTAAAACACAAAAACCCCTTAATAAGACCACACAATTAAATGTCGCACAATTTAAACAACTTAAGATTGTGTAAATTATTTCCAGTTACGTACGTCTAATATTGGATCAGTAATAGAAGCGAGCGCTAAATATTTCTCATGAATATTAATGCTTACTTAACAATATATCATCCATACCATACGTTACACAAATTTCACAATGCCAATGTTGTCAGTTTTCGTGGAAATTTTCCTACACGTCTAGCGGCCTTGTGTGTTAGGAGTTCATTGTTCCCCACCCCTTCTCCTTCCTCTCGTTTCTCTCACTTTGCTTTACACATACGCTCTTTATGAAGGACGGACTATGTAAATATGAAGCTTGCGTTTTCTTCTCCACAAAGCTTTGTTCAAAGAGTGCTTTACAAAGGATTTTTCAATTATTTCCTTCATTTTCTCAAATTAAGTGTAATGTAAGAAATTTTTATTCGTTCGAAAGAAAATAAGAATGCCTACACTGGAAATATATTAAAAATACTACAATAGAAAGCAACACACGTATTTCATGTTTCTAAAAATTTTTGACTGTCAAGAATTTTCATATATGTATTTAAGTTTGATAGTTACTTACTTACTTACACTCATATCCTGTGATTAATCGCGGTTTTTAAACTTCATCTCCATCATTAATCCATTAAAAATTCCACCATTGTAGCAAAAGCAATGTTGACTGCTGAACATGCTTCAGTGCTTTTCAAATGTTGTAAGGGTCATTCAGGTCAGAGTTATAAGTATAATTTGGAGAAAGAATTTAATTCTTTCTCCAAATTATACTTATAACTGCCAGCTCATGTGGTACCTTGAGGATCATCAGCTGATTAGTGACCGCCAGTACGGTTCCCGTCGAGGTTGCTCAGCTGGTGACCTTCTAGGTTACTTAATTCGTAGATGGGCGAAGGCAGTGGAGTCCAAGGGGGAGGCGTTGGCCGTTAGTTTGGACACAGCGAAGGCCTTTGATCGGGATTGACACAAAGTGCTTTTTTCGAAGCTGCCTTCCTATGGGAAAATTGTGCAATTGGGTCACCAGTTTTCTTGCAGATCGGAGTATCAAGGTCGTTGTAGACGGTGCATGCTCCGATTACAAGCCTATTAACGCTGGTGTTCCACAAAGCTGCGTGCTATCACTGTTTCTTCTGCATATCAATGATATGTTGCAAACCTCATTGACCTTCAGCAGATTTCATTAATCAGAAACAATTATTGCTCTGCAGACAGCACTGATAACGCTTTATACACTGGCCGTACCAATATTTCTCGAGAAAACGTAGCCGAGTACCGGAACAAGCTTGTGTCTGAAGTCGAGACTTTGTTTAACAAAGTCTCAGACTGGGGGCGACTAAATCTAGTCCATTTCAAACCCCAAAAGAAAAAAATTTGCGCGTTTACCGCTAAAAAGAACTCCTTTGTCGTATCTCCTCAGTTTCAAGGCACTCCCCTTGTTGCCTCAGTCAGTATCGGAGTCCTCGGTGTCGACATATCGAGTGAAGTGCAGTTTCGTGGTCACTTGGAATAGAAGGCCAAATTGGCCTCTCAAAAGCTTGGCGTGCTCAGCAGACCGGGACAGTATTACATGCCGGCACACCGCCTGCAACTTTACAAGACGCAGGATCGGCGTCACATGGAATACTCTTCCAGTCGCTCAATTCCACGAACGCACATCGCGACAAAACTCGCGATACCATCCATACCGTCTGGATGATTGGCGGTCCACCAATGTACGATTTAGAAGAAGTTTTCTTCCTCGTACAACTTCCTTGTGGAATCGATTACCACCAGCAACTTTTCCGGACCGATACGACTTAGGGACCTTCAAGAAAAGAGTCTACTCCTTTTTAAAAGGCCGGCAACGCATCTGCAATTCCCCTGGTGTCGCAGTTGTTCATGGGCGGCGGTGGTGACTTACCAACAGGTGAGCCGCATGCTCGTTTGCCCCCTCTCCTACATAAAAAAAACCCGTCCCCTTCTGGAATGAAAGTCGCCAACAATGAAAAGAATAGTTTACGGTTGACGAGACGACGAGAAATCTCCGGACAAACACTGATTTGGAAACATTAAAAAGAAACCCTTGCGTACAAAAGTTGAAATCTTAGACTATGAAAGACGGTACGTAAATAAAAAAAAGATAATAATGTCCTCCAGACCGAATTTGGTCATGGTGGCTAGTTTTGGCCACATACGCCATACAGGATTATAGTGGGAGATAGATTCAGGTATCTATTGTATGTACATGCACGATTGAGTGTATAAGCACAGGTGCACTCCGATAGGACGGTAATCCGACATGACCGGAGAGAGAACAGGCGCAGAACCAACGGCTTTATATGATTTCCGAGCCACGTGGTCGAAACACCGCCAAATTCCTGACTACAGGCTGCTAAACATTTCTTGACAGAAAATCCAATAACTGATTGTTTGGAATACCCAGGGATTCGAACCTATGATATGTTTACGACTATTAGACCAGCGTGGCAATCATATACGTGAATGCAGACTTATTAATAGTCCTAATAATTTGAAACCCTATGAATTCAGCTAATTATTAATTCCATATAATTTTAACGTGGTAGGGCAATGCTACAGCGTATTATGGTGGCAGAATAATGGATCGACACGACGAGGGAAGGACTACATTCGCACAGTATCATTAATTACATCTCTTTACAAGTCCACTGCTGCACAAAGACCATACTCCTGAGCCAATTTATCCATCGTTTACTTCCTTTACCTTCGTCCAGGTAGTCACTACATTAGATGTAGGACCCAGGGGATCCAGACACTATTTTGGTCTCTTACTGGTGTAAGAGATCGCCACTCGAAAACTTTTCTTTCCCATCGGCTGTCCTCTTCTTTCTCGAGTTATATGACCAGCCCATTGCCACTTCAGCTTACTGATTCGTTGGCTATGTGTGTTTACATAGAATACAGTTTACATAGTATTTCGTATGATAAGTGAGGTCAATCGGAGACCTTTTTTTGGTAACAAAAGCATTTAATCTTAGTCTACTAAGGTGGCAATGCATTTCAATTCTTAATTTAGCATAAATGTAGGCGTACATGATCAGTGGTCACTGCAGCCCATGGACATTTTGAAGCCTGCAACCACTTTAAGCAAAGAAGACAAATACAATATTGTCTATAATAATTATAGCAAAAATAGACATTAGGGTGATACTGACTCAGATGAACTCCTAATCGTAGCATGTGACTTTCCTATTAGATTAAGTCATCTTATTCGTCTCCACCAAAAGAATGCCTGGTTTCCAGTAAAAAGGTCAAAAGTCTTTGGTATAGAATAGAGTGTAGAGACACTCACCATACAAAACGCAGCAGCATTAAGCTGCTATTTTACGCTGGTATTCTGTGAGACGGTAGTCCATCCCCGGTCAAGCCAACGCATTCGTGCTACAACCATAAAATAGCTGCAGCGTTAGTCTACCACGTACAGAGATTAAGTACGGACCATATATAATTAATTTTGGAAAAGAACATTTTCTTTCTTAATTTTCCGCTATCGAACTCAAAACTAAAGAAAAGTCCAGGAATTTATTAAAAATTGTAACGTTAAAATGTTATAACAAAGTTTTAATAAGAGCAAAGATGGAATGCATGTTTTGACGTAAAATTGTTTTAAGTTTCAACATTTTTGTTTTCAGATTTTGTATTTTTTTAACCATTATGTATTTCATTAAGATCAATAGGTTGTAGTCTAAAATCAAAGTTTTTTTAATTGTATTTTTTTGTTCTACAGAAATATCTCCAGCCTCTCAAGAGTCCAGAAAATGCCGGTCTTCTAGACGCATTCCTCGTTGATGAGATATTTTATCAGGTGCCGGCGATATTAAATGTGCACCAAGTATTCCTGGAGCAACTGAGACGACGGCTGGAACAATGGGACCTGCAGCAAAAAGTTGGAGACGTCTTTTTGGACGTAGTAAGTACATGATAATTATTTCGTTTGTTCGCACCAATGATTAATATCTTACTGTTAGTAACCGTGTAACTGCTGAACAAGTTGACTGATTGATTATATTCACAAAATATTTTTGTATTGTGACAAGATGGTTTATAGCCATTATAGGATCCCATAGGTGGCACTGTAGTCAAGTTTTTTAACAATTGTTTATTTTTAGACCAAAATGACTTGTTTTTACAATGCTATATATTGAATATTACATATATAAGGCTCATTTTTCATCCGTTTCATAAATTTTGTCAGTAAAGGTTTAACAGCATATGGAATTAAAGATTTACCTTTAATAATTTTTGTACAGTACAGTAGTACCTATTTTAACAATGTTTTTAATTACTCGCTTTTGTTGTTCGGGTCGGAGCTAGAGACAAGATGAAGTAGTGTTCCAACATAGCGTAAAATTGGAAATATTATTTTTAAAAACGTGATATATAATTTTTATACATAAACTTTTTAACTGCAATTGATGCATACATTATACATGCATTATTTAAAAATAAATCATCAAATACTTGAATGAAAGTGTTTAAAATTACAAACATTTGCTACATTTTATTCATCCTTTTAAATATTTCTAATTGCTCATCGTTTTAGTTCACGAAACCCGCGGTAATGGACACCTACATGTCTTTTATAAACAACTTGAAAAAAGCGAAGGAGACGATAAAGACAGCGGCTGCATCAAGACCCGCCTTTGCCAAGTTCCTAGACGCAATGGCTCGGGACCACAAAGGAAAATTGTCTTTGGACAACCTTCTAATAAAGCCAGTGCAGAAATTCCCCAGCTACAAACTGCTTATCCAGAGGTTGATAAAACACACAGGTACTGCTTTACAGTTTACTTTATATATTTTGTTCTATATATTGGCTTAGCTTTCCATTGACGTCAGTGGAGTTTGGTGTTGATACGTATTTTTACAGAAAGATTACACTATTATAATCACACACACAATGTCTCAATATACGGAAACGCGTAATTTTTGAGAAAAGAATAATTGAAAATCAATTATTCTTGCAATGTTTACGTCTAATTTGCTAATAAACTGGCGCCGTTTTGTAATGTCATTGTCGACGTCAATAGGGATGTCGATTCTTTCCGAAAAAGGTCGATTTTTAAATCGATTCAAATCGTAAGCTGATGTATCGGTTCACAAAAAATCGATTTCTAAAATGTCTATATTTTTTTAATGTTTCTATTTATAATGTAAATATAAACCCATTTTATGAAAAACAAGAAAGATACCATGATAAATGATCTCTTATTGAAATTTGTTTTATTTAACAGTACCTATTAGGGCAGATAAATAAAATAGGTTAGGTTCAACTTATGTCAAAGAACCGAATTGATTGACCCCGACTCCACCTGGTACGAGTCTGTCCTACCCCTAGAGTGGTTTTATAGAGCCGGAGGCGCGTAGGGGGAGCAGCCTCCGCCTGCTGTAACAAATCGTAGGCATCGGACGAGCCGGAGCGGCTGAGGCTGGTCGCCGAAGGTGACCAACAAGCCGAAGCTGCGGAGGCGAGGAGGGATGCCTGCGATTTGTTACGCGAAGGCGTAGAGGTTGCTCTTCCCGCAGCGCCGGAGACGTAGCAGTCTCAAAATAGATACAGAAATCCTTATGAATCAGTCCCCTTATTTTTTTATGATGAAGGGGATTTTTTTCTCATAAAATGGATTTATATTTACATTATAAATGCAAACATGAAAAAAATAACGATAATTTAGAAATCGATTTTTTAGGAATCGATACATCAGCTTACGATTTGAATCGATTTAAAAATCGACCTTTTTCGGAAAGAATCGACATCCCTATTGACGTCGACAATGACATTACAAAATGGCGCCAGTTTATTAGCAGATTAGACATAAACATTGCAAGAATAATTGATTTTCAATTATCCTTTTCTCAAAAATTACGCGTTTCCGTATATTGAGACTTTGTGTGTGTGCTTATAATAGTGTAATCTTTCTGTAAAAATACGTATCAACACCAAACTCCACTGACGTCAATGGAAAGTCGTACCTATATATTTTTATACAAGTTTGACAAACGAGCACACAGTCCGTCTGATGGTAAGTGTATGCTGTGACCCATTGACATCTTCATCTATCTATCATGTATATGTATATAATTAAAAATTAAAAAATTGTACAACCGACTTCAATATACATTATTAAGAATGACTCAAAAACTATTAGTCAGACCTTGGTCAAATTTATAAGTGACCACATGGGAAGCACCAGCTTTCAAATAAAATTATCGAAATCGCTTCACCCAGTAAGAAGTTATGAGGTAACACACATAAAAAAATACAGTCGAATTGAGCACCGGCTCCTTTTTGAAGTCGGTAGAAAATGCAGATGTGTGGTCGCCTGAAGACTAAGATGAAATGGCAAGGTGTCAGTAAAAAGGGTTTTATGCTGCTATTATTCCAAGGTATTCTATACTGGGATGGTACTTCATTAGGCGTATTGACTTATTTGTACTGTAGTCATAAGATTTAATATTTTTATTGAATTGATACTTATTCCATTAAGTTTAAGGATGTTAAAGAGCAGAAATTGTGTTTTCAAATGTGCGCGTCGAGTGATAGTAATGATAGTTTAACCTTTTTTATAATATATTATACGATAAGTATTACTTTATTCAGTATTACAAAGTCTAACATTTCAAACTTTATATTATGTGCACTTTCTGTTTGTATAAAAACTTTGCTTTTCATATAATGCAAATATAAAATGTTTATTGCCATAAATTAAAAAAATAACTAAAATTAAAAACTTAAATTATTATATAGTTGTGCTCTTCGCGGTATGGTACCAAAAACTTTGACTGCGTTTCTTTGCTGGATGGCTATACTGAGCCTTTGAGTGAGAAAAGAGCCAGCCCTCTTATCACCAGCAGCGACCACGTGTTCCTGATAGAGTTCCTTTAGAAACTTCACCGCACATGGACTCCACAAACTGATAGTGTCTACAGCAAATGGCACAAATATGTAGTTATATTTAACTCATATTTGCGCCACTTACATTTATTACATATTTACAAATTTCTTCTGTTATATAATAACCCTTATAATTTCATTCTACACCTCTATCCCAATTTGTCACAACGTTATAACGGGGTGTTAGACTTTAGTTTTGGTCAATTAAGATCGGACCAAAATTAATAATTTAAAAGTAGTTTTAGTAGCCCGGGTTAATTTACATTACGAGTTAAATGGCATTAGGACGTCAAGCATCTCAGTCTACCCGTGATCTTTAATCCACTCGAGACATTGGGAGTTAAAAATAAGTTAAAATTAAATATGATATCGTCACTTGTATTTAATGTGTAGTGTTCGCGTAAATTAATGCAATCATTATGTTAATTCAAATTTAGAAGAAAAATTAAAACTAGATTGTAAAATTTAAATATAAAAAATATTACGAATTAATTTATTTTTATTCTAATATTTATCCTTTATTGTATACAGAGAAAAAAAACTTTTTATTTCCTTATCAATTCCAGTATCATTAAATAGGCGATGAGTGTAATATTTTTAATTATCAGATCCCACAGCCTTCAGAATATCAAATTTCAAATTAGCTTGAGTATACAGAACTTCAAGGGCTTAGTTTTATATTTATACTAGCTGTTTCCCGCGACTTCGTTCACGTGGAATCCATTACGATTAAATAACGTAGGTTTAAATTTTTTGCGCTGAACCCTTATTCTTTCTATAAAATCAGCTACCTGCCAGTGAAAGTCCGGTCAAAATTGGTCTAGCAATTTTGGGGATTAGCTGGAACAAACAAACAGACAGAAAACGGACGGATAGACAGACAGACAAAACACTTAAAATTGTTTTTTTTTGTTTTAAGTACCGTATATACTTTCGTAAGCCTTTAGTAAAAAGCTGTTATTTTGGCATTTTTTTGTTACAACTACCATTAAAATAGGCAAATTATAAACACTGTTTTAGAAAGATGTGTTCTCCTATAATTGGTAGTACATAGTAATTTGTAGATGTAAGGCATGTATTAGAAGTAATTTAATATGTACAACTGTGGGAGATCCATACAAATAAATAAATAAATAAATAGAATAGAATAGAATAGAATAGAATGATTTTTTATTCAATATGGATTATTACATAATACTTATTGAAAGTCATTATTTTATTTACCACTGGTTCGGAAAATACCTCTGTCCTGGGAAGAACCAGCAAGAAACCCAGCGGGACTTTTTTTTTTAAACATAATTTCACTTAACAATAATTTTGATTATACAATTTTAAATGAATTTTCATAGAACCAGCATGGTGGCGATCACCTTATTCCCAGGGGTTATTTTCACTCATGTATTCCTTGATATTATAATAACCCTTTTTGTACAGTTTTTCTTTAATAAAACTTTTAAACTTGTTTATTGACAAACTTTGAACATGTTCTGGGATTCTGTTGTAAAAGCGTATACATTGCCCCATAAATGAATTACTAATTCTGTGGAGTCTTGTAAGTGGCATTACAAGCTTATGTTTGTTCCTAGTGTTTAAGGTATGAACATCCTTATTCTTATTAAAGCTATTTATGTTTTTATGTACATACATTACATTTTCATAAATATATTGCGATGCCAAAGTTAATATGTTTATTTCTTTAAATTTTTCTCTAAGGGAATCTTTACAATTTAGATTATAAATCGCCCGTACGGCTCTCTTTTGCAAAACAAATATAGCTTCAATATCAGTCGCATTACCCCATAGCAAAATTCCATAAGACATTACGCTATGAAAGTAACTAAAATACACTAACCTAGCTGTCTCAACATCTGTGAGACTTCTAATCTTTCTTACAGCATATGCTGCAGAACTAAGTCTGCTTGCTAATTTAGATATATGGGGGCCCCATTGAAGTTTCGCGTCAATAGTAATACCGAGAAAAACAGTGGTATCCACAAGACTCAACTCCTCCCCATTTAAGAGCACATTGGTTTTCGAATGTTTTACATTAGGTATTGTAAATTTAATACATTTAAAATAAATTACATAAAAAAATAAATAAATTACAAACAGACAACAATTTTATTTATTTGTATTGTAATAGTTGGACTTTTGTTAGGCAGTAATGAATGAATGTTTGTAGTTATTTACAAGATTGATCTATTTTTAAAAAGCAAAAGCATTCTTAGTTCTCAGGGATGGCAACGTACATACATACATTGATTCTTTACTTGACAAAGAAATAAGTGAAACTGTCTATCAATTATAAAGAGATTTAATGTGAACTCGTTATCAATATTTATCAAAAGAAAATATAAACTGATGTATGTAATGAAGAACGTTCTTTTATTTTTCAGACCAATCCCATCCAGATCATAAACTTCTGTTAGAAGCCCAAAAAGAAATACACGAACTCTTAGAATTAATCAACTGCACAGAAAGGGAGAGTCTTGAAATGGAGCAACAGCAACAAACGTTGCGAGAGTTGGAACAAATGATTGAAGGTCTATCAAACCTGGTGACTGCAGATCGAATGTTCTTGAGGCATGAGATGGTAACTATGCCTTCAGCACAAGGGACCATTAAAGATAGAGCTCTATTCCTTTTTAACGATACTCTCTTGATAACGAGCGTTAAAAGAAGGACGGGGACTATTAAAAAACCTATTCCGTAAGTATACACACAATATTTTATTTATCTATACATATAAATATAACACATTTAAGTGGTAGAGCCACCCTGCAGCTATATTATGGTTGTAGCAAGAATGGGTCGGCTCGACCGGGGAAGGACCACGCTCTCACAGAATACCAGCATAAAATAGAATCTTAACACTGTTGTATTTCATATGGTGAGTGTAGAGAACCGGAGACCCTTTTTACTGGAAATAAGGTATTCCATCTTAGTTCTCAGGGATGACAACGCACCTGCATTTTGATTCTTAATCGAGGATAAATGTAGATATCTATGAGTCACAGCATCCACTTACTATCAGGTGCACTGTGCACTCGCTTGCCACCCAAACTCTTAAAAACAATTGAGGTTGTCTATATTGACATAAATGGCTTCTGTTAAGGTATCTTTGCATGCTTTATAGCAGTTACGTGGTTTAAACCACGAAACTACGGAGCACTAATTTTTAATATGTTAAATTTTTGTGTGTCTGTCTGCTTGTCTGTTTGTCTGTCCGGGATAAACATCGATATGGCTGAACTGATTGTAATGAAATTTTACAAACAGATAGACAGCAATCCCAGAATCTAGGCTTTATTTTAAGTTAAAGATTTTTTTTGAAAAATGTAAAATTGATAAAAAGGTATAATGTGAGAGCGTGGTTATTCCCTGGTGGAGCCGACCCATTCGTGCTACAACTATAGTACTAATATAGCTGCATCATGGCTCTACCACGTATATCTTAAATTTTTTAAACTTATCTTAAAACAATGCCATATTAGTAGATATTTAGGTGAAGCAAGGGCGGTTCGGTAGCTATACATAAAGAATAAGTATAATAAATAAAAGAAATGTTTATCAGTAGTTTGAATGATTGCAATAGTAGTGCTGGTTGAAATCATTTAGTAAAATAAATACTCTTCGATTATTTTTTGTCATTTATAAATATAAATTTATCTTTATTAACATTTCAGTACATACCAAAGCAGTATAGCGAGTCAGATGGAAGGAAATAAATACAAACTATTAATGAGGATATCTCTAGCTGATCTCGAAATTGTCAAAGGTATGTAAAAGTGTTGATTATAAGAGCCATGGGCACACATGATGGTGTTTCTTATTCGAATATATGGATGTGTATTAGAACACATAGTAGGTAACTAGAAAACATGGTAGGAAAAAGATAGTCGTGTGGCACTTTCGTACAATTGTAGAGCTGGGCGACACCACAGGAGGCGGAGTGATGACCTGATTATATTAAACATGCTGGGAGTCAATGAATTCAGCAAGTTCAAGACTGTGCTTTATGGCAATCTATTTTGGAGACCTAGGTTTAATTCTGGGCATCCTTATTGGCATTAATAATGATCATGGACAGCCTGGAAGTTACTGGAATTTCTACGTATTTATTATAATTGCACAAAAATGTTATTTTTGAATGTATGGATTGTAAATATGTACGCATACACTTTTATCAATACGATTACTTTTATTAAATTTTTTATTCATAATGCCATAATTTATCAATGGAGATATGAATGCTTCATTTTCACTTATAAGGTCTCCGATTCACTCAAAAGTCACTCAGCGTACCATGGACAGGGCTATGCTTGAAATTTATCCGTGAGATAAAATCCGTAACTAACATAGTCCATCAGATCAGTAAACTGAAATGGCAATGGTTTGGTCATATATCTCGAAGAATCGACAATCTATGAGGAAGGAGGCAAGCTCAGTGTTGATCGACCCCTACTATAGTAATAGCAGTTAATGGACGCAGATGATTCAGGACCGTACTTTGTAGCAATCTATAAAGAAGGCCTATGTTCAGCACTGGAATAAGTCCAGTGCTGGGTTGTAGTGACAGGAAGTTGTGGTTAATTTATCTAATAAAACCTGTGCTGTGTATACTTTAAACATAACTGAATTTTACTGACACTCTCGTGTTTTCAAAATTAAAATTAAACGCAGTCAAATCCGAAAAATATTTTGTATATGTCTGTAATTATTCGAATAAATGTCTGTAATTTTTTAACAGTGGTAGAGCCACGCGGCAGCTTTTGCTATCTCGCGGATGGGCCGGCTCGAACCGGGGTAGTACCACGACCTCACAGAAAACCAGCGTGAAGTAGAGGTTTACCTCTGCGTTTCGCTTGGTGATTGCAGGTGGCCGGAGGCCCTTTTTACTGGAAATGAGGCATTCCATCTTAGTCCTCACGGATGACAACGTATCTACATTTTGATTTGTAACAGAGGATAGATGTAGATGTCTATGGGCCGCAGCAACCACTTACCATCAGGTGAACTGTGTGCTCGTTTGTCACCCTTATGCTATAAAAAAAAAGAATCAAATGATAGTTTTTACAAAAAATAATCCATTTCAGCTAAAGATGAAAATATAAGGCGTATAATGCACGAAGTGGAAACATTAACTGAGGATGTGAATACACTTACGCAAATTTCCGAACATGTGGCGGCGTTACACACTCACCACGCACAGCTCGAGGAGCTGGTGAGGGACATGCTACATTCTCTTAACAAACAACTGATGGAGAGACAGAACAGCGACACACAGCTTTGCTACATGGAGATTAGCTTGAATACGTCGTAAGTAGATAGCTATAAATACTTAATTTTAATCTAGGGCTATGAGCAAGTTAGTAAAATTCAAATATTATAAATATGTAGGGATTTTTTTATTACTTTTAGAGTCCATGATAACAACTTTGTCCATTAAAGATAGTCCATAAAGGCTGGAGGGTTTTCAAATAGTAACGATTAAATGAAAGTTGTTTCTCTTCGTCTCCCGTTAAAAAACATAGTTACACAAGTAGAAGGGCAGGTTTCTATCATTGATATAATGAGATGTTTCAACCGTTACCGCTACATACTATCATATATTCCCATATCACATTTTTTTTATAGGTAAGGGGGCAAACGAGCATGCGGCTCACCTGATGTTAAGTGACTACCGCCGCCCATGAACAACTGCAACACCAGGGGAATTGCAGATACTTTGACGGCCTTTTAAAAAGGAGTAGGCTCTTTTTTTGAAGGTGCCTAAGTCGTATCAGTTCGGAAAAATCGCTGATGGCATTCGATTCCACGAGAAACATATGCGTCATATGTTTCCCATAATTGGCAATCCTAGGCGCGTTGAGTATATCCACTACTCCATATGATATAAAATAACGTAGATGTTATAAAAGCCGGCAGAGAGAAGTTTTAACCGGAGATGGGCAGTATAAACTTCCTAATAACGACTGTAAAAAAAAACTGCGACTGTCAACCCGCCTGTCAAACGTGGCAAGTATAGCAAAATCTCTCCCACGAGGCAGTCTGTTGGGGAGGCAGTCAGCTGTAATAAATCAATTCCCTTACACCCCAACAAGTGGAACGTTCGATGTAACATAAAACATATAACGTGTAATGAATGCAATTACAAAAAAAATATACAAGCCAAAAATCCGATCAGTACATAAAATTAAGTGAAATAAAAATACACATGTACTACTTGGATGTGTTTCAGGAGTGGACCGGAAAATTTAACAATAATTTTCCCGAAAACGGAGAAGAGGAACAGTTGGGAGGAATTGATAAATGAGACCAAACAAAAGTTATGTAAGTAAAGTTCGTTCACTTATTGAAGTCTTAAAAATAATATAAAACAAAACGAACATCAAAGATAATGCCTTACTAGATGGGAATGTTTTCGGAGTAAGAGTTCATCGGGATAGGAACCCCCACTTACCTCTTACTGCCGTCAAGGAGCAGCGCTTGCACTGCGTGAACCAGCATAGTTACAGGCTGTAAGGCATTCCATCTTAGTCCTCAGAGGTGACATTGCCTTCGTTGTTGAAAGATAGTTGTTGATCTTCTTAGGCTGTCTTTGTCACTTAACATCAGTGTTAGTTGATTTTTTCATTTATATTTTCCGTTTCTGTTAACTAAGGGACATATGTCTCTCGTGTTGTATAAAATAGAATAGAATAATTTTTATTCAATATAGTGTGTATATGTGTAGTGTAACCACATGCAATTCTTATTGAAAGTTATTTTGTTATAGGATAGGGTGACAAACAAGCACACAGTCCACCTGATGGTAAGTGGTTGCTGTGACCCATAGACATCTACATTTATCCTCAATAAATAATCAAAATGCAGATGCGTTGTCGCCCGTGAGGACTAAGTTGGAATGCCACTTTTCCAGTAAAATGGGTCTCCGGTTCTCTACACTCACCATTCAAAACACAGCAGTGTTAAGATGCTATTTTACGCTGGTATTCTGTGAGAGCGTGGTCCTTCCCCGGTCGAGCCTACCCATTTGTTCTACAACTATACTACTAATATAGCTGCAGCATGGCATGCAGAGCCATGAAAACGCATTTGCATTTTGATTCTTTATTGAGGATAGATGTAGATGTCTATGGATAACAGCAACCGCTTACCATTAGGCGGACTGTGTGCTCGTTTCTCACCCTTATCCTATAAAAAATACAATATGAAACGTTGTACAAACTACGAGTATTTACAAAAATTTTAGAAACGGCTTGGAAGCGACCACCTCCATTCCCAGGGGTTATTATAAACCATGTATTCATTTATATTATAATAACCCTTTTTTTTTTTACACTTTTTGTTATACAACCTGTAACAAAAACCCATGGTTCCCTTTAAGTGCGTTATCAGAGTCAGTATTCAAACGTAAAGAAATAACTTTTTTTCAAAAAATTTGAAGATTAAAGAATTTAATATTAATTAAAAAAAATAATTTGCAAATTGTATGTGGTTTTATTACCTCTAACTGACACGAACATCGGTGAAGGGGGAATCTTTTACAATCCTCTTATTCTCCGGATAATGCAGAAGTAATAAAACTACATACAATTTACAAATATTTTTTTTAAATTATAAGAATTTTTTAACTGTGAAATGTTTTGAATAAAGTTATTTCTTTATTTTTGAATACTGACTCTGATGACGCACTTAACGGCAACCACAGGGTTTTTATTACATGTTGAATATATATATATATATATATATATATATATATATATATCGTCACTACCACATGATAATAGTGTCATTGTGGTGACGTGACGTCAGATTAGGGAGTCGGGTTTAAAAAAATTAAAATAAAGTTGTTAAGTTTAGAGTGTCCACTTTTATTATATTAAATGTTAAAAGTTATTCTAGTATTCCAAGTTTTCTCCCAATAGTTATATTAAGGAATAAATAAGGAATATAATAAGGTATAATAAATAAGATCTTTAAGATGCTGTGATGATTTGGCCATGTCGAGAAAATGAATGAAGAACGATTGACGAAAAAGGTGTATAAGGCGAGTGTGAATGAAAGTGTTGGAAGGGGTAGACCTAGGCGGACGTTTCTAGACCAAATCAGGGACGTCTTGAAAAAAGGCCAGGTCAAGAGTACCCTAAACCGAGCCGTGGACGAAGCGAAACAAGTATGTAAGGATCGCAGCAAGTGGAAGGAAGTGGTCTCTGCCTACCCCTACTGGAAAGAGACGTGATTATATTATATGTATTATATTCCTAATGAAAGCATATTTCAGGTGTATATGGTCATGAAAGACCGGCTCCAGAATTCCTTTCACCAGTTCCAATACGAAAGACTCGAGCTGGCTTACAGTTCACATGCGCTGCACCAACATTACCACCGAAGGGGCAATCTCCTGATGTGTGGGTAAGTCTTAACACTTTCACTGTCCGATTTTCAGTAAGGCAATAGCAATTAACTATATGTAAAGCGTTTAAAATGTTTTTATACGTGGTAGAGCCATGCCACAGCTATATTAGTAGTATAGTTGTAACACGAATGGGTCGGCTCGACCGAGGAAGGATCACACTCTCACAGAATACCAGCGTAAAATAGCAGCGTAACACTGCTGTGTTTCGTATGGTGAGTGTAGAGAACCGGATACCCTTTTTACTGGAAAAGAGGCATTCAATCTTAGTCCTCACGGGTGACAACGCGTCTGCATTTTGATTCGCAAGCGACGATGGATGTAGATGTCTATGGGCCACAGCAACCACTTACCATCACTGGACTGTGTGCTCGTTTTTCACCCTATCCTATAAAAAAAATACGGGACAGCGAATGGGTTAATATTATAATGATATTAAATAAATCATATTTAAGGAGATATACAAAAATGTTAAAAATTCGTCTACAATATACTTGCTTATGTTAAAATATTGTAAAAATAAGGATCAATACCTTCCTCGAAGACAATAATGAAAAGATGACATGATACTGGAGTTTGTCAACTATTTTGGCTTAAATATTCATGCATTCAATATCAAATGCTGAACAAAATTCTCCCACATATCCTCATAAGGGAGATATTTGCTAGACGGGTGGGTTGGCAAGCACAGTATTCTTTGAGATTATAATAAGAAGATGCTGCTACCCATTTGTATCACCTAAGAGTTGAGCAAAAACTTTTCCCGTCTCAGTAATGTCTTTCCAAAAATGCATGGCATGATGAATTTCTTGGAAGGCTTGTTTTTCACAACGCTGAAAACAATATTCGAGAGCTTTCTATTACCAGTCTCAATACAACAAAATCAGTTATATTTCAAAAAATTAAAAGTTTCTGTAGTTTTACCACGTGCTCGGCGGTGAAGGAAAACATCTCAAAGAAACATTCATGACTGAGAAATACAACATTTCGAAGAATGTCAAGTCCACAGCGTGGGGACAAATAGCTTCATAGCCCTATCAGAAATGAGAGGAGCTAGGAGGCTGTAGGGTGTGTATTAGACAGAAGTTTACTTTGTTTTTACTTAAAATTAACATTTCAAACCGATTCATCAGATAACAAGGTGTACTTTTGCTACTAGGAGATAAAAACTAAGTAGGTATTCTCCTTACACCTCTGTTTACTGCTTATGCCAGATATACATTCAAGTGACGCCGAATCTATGCTCAAATTCTTGACATGCACTCACGCACACATATTCAATCTTTTTTTCTCTATCAGCCCTTAAAATCTACGGCTAGATACACATAATTTTTTTTTGAAGATTAATGATGACAATTTTAAATGCATATATGTGCGTGAGTGCGGGTTCCTACAATAAGTATGGTTTCGGCGTCTCTTGAAATTAACGTAGTGTTCTATGAGCTACAATTGAAACACAAATATGTAAAATTTACAGGTATGCAACAGCGACGGTTACGTTGGCCAAGTATGCGTTCTCACGCTGTCTCCGAAACCGCAAGTGACTTCGTGTAATGGAGTTTGCAATGCGCGGATACTGTGCGTCGCTTGTGTTCCACCCGCACCTGCGCTCACTCGGCAGCACACTCTGGATATACCGTAAGTATTTAGTTATAAAATTTGGAAATTAAAAAAAATATTAATTATTATTCAAAATAACATAAAATACAATATTTTGTTATATACAATATTAAAATCTATAATAAAAAAACTAGTAATTTAATTATCACACAGTCGTACTCTCCGCGGTATAGTGCCAAGAACGCTGCGTTTCCCCGCTGAATGGCTATACTTAGCCTTTGAGCGAGAAAAAACCAGCCCTCTTATCACCAGCGGCAACGACCAGTCGCGGATGGAGTTCCTTTAGGAACTTCACCGTGCGTGGACCCCACGGTCCGATAGTCTCTACAGCAAATGGCACAAATATGTAGTCATCTTTCACTTACTCAGTTCAGCTGCCTCTGATGTCACGCCGGCTCTAAACGAGATACCCCTGAGATGAGAGGTCGCCAAAGCATATACGCAAGTAGCATCCCATACTGGAACTTTACCTCTCTCCCAAGGGACGAATGTCATATCGTATGGTCTCTTGCCATCGTCTCTAAATATCCCACAAGCCTCTAAACCCGAGGGAATATTTATAGAGACAAGAGCCCTTCGGATGATATCGTTCAAAGAACGGTGCCGTGAAAACCTACTAGCACTTTTCTTACATGAAAGTCCGTAAACTTTTCGACGCTGCTACCACAAAATGACGACCATTTTACCACTTTTCTAGTTCTAGCTATGTTTAAAGTTGTCTCTAGTTCATCCAGAACTTAGTATAAAATTGGTTTCGAAGTTTATACTGAACATATAAACAAATAGACTGACAAGAAAGTGAGTTTTCGAGCATTGTCATTCAGTTCTGTATAATAATTAATGATTCAAGTTTCTAGCTCATCGGGAAATTAGTTTAAAGACGATTGCAAAAGTTGTAAAGCCAAGTAAATTAAAACGTGGCGTAGGCTGGGCCAGTAACTTTAATAGGATATCAAATATTACTTCTAAACTCAAGTTCACTTGTTTTAAAAACAAAACAAACCTCTCAGATTAATTTGCGAGTTTATTTTGATTGATTCCGTAATACAACTTTAACATATTTAACATCCACGTTACCTTTTTCAGGAGTACGAGTTCCTTAAATAGTACTGGATCTACGAAGCCAGGCATCAGTATATCAGACCCTGATGACAGTTGCAAGAATATTCGACTAGACAGGTAAAATGAGTTTGAATACCTAAATGTCTTGGGTTCAAATAGCAACAGGAGTTACTTTTTGTTTGTATGTTTTATTGTACACCACAAAATATGGAAAACAAAAATAGATTACAATAACACGAAGAAAAGTTGAGGAGATAAATACTATAAAACGGTATCATCGCTCATCTTCCAGACAACCTTAAGATTAAGGAAAAAAAAATGAACTATCGGACGGTGGGAGTGTATATAATTATAGTATGTATGTAAGTTACCAATACATATAAGTTATGAGGAAACCAATATATTATATACATTACAATAGCAAAATAATACAATAATATATATATATATATATCAAAGATATACAAAATATATATATATATAAGTAAATATCAAAGATATACAAAAGATTAAACAGGCAAATATACCTAATGGATACACCAGGTAATACAGAAGGGAATCAAAAATCTAAATGGTTCTGATAGTGACTTGTAATTACAGTGATAGGTAGGGATTTTTGACGTCAGTCCTAAACTTATCCAGTGTTTTCGCATGACGAATTTGTGGAGAAAGTTCGTTCCATAAACATTGGCCTTGACCGTGAAATAATTCTTAAAGTATTTGTTCGTTAAGAATTTGGCGCGAGTATTTCTGCAAAAAAAGACAATAATATTTAGTTAATTTTGGGGTCTTATGATTGATTGTCGTATGTTATGACTGTCGTTGTCCTCGTATCTCTGACATTGAACTACCTTCTAAATTATCGTACTCTAATTCCCGCGCAATTGATAACTACTGACCATCGAAAGCTATCTTTGTAGTCGAAATAAACCAGAATGATATCATCGTATTTATTATAGTTGGTGTTAGAAAATAAAAAATGAAACACACAGTCCAGCTGATGGTAAGTGGAAGCCGTAAATTGCATTTAACATGCAGAATCATTTATCACCCTCTGAGGGCTACGAACGATAGAATGCCTACTAGATAGAATCCTTACTAGTAAAGAGGACCTTCAGTTTTCGTTACTCATCATACGAAGCACAGCATCATTATGCTGCTATTTTACTTTGGTATTCTGAGCGAGCGTGCTCCTTCACAAATAGAGCTAAACTATTCGCTGCCGCCATAGTATACTGCAGCCTGGTTCTACCAAACGTGAATATCTATTCCTAACAACGACTTTTTATAGAGTAGGGTCAAACAAGTTCAAAGTTCACCTGATCGTAAATGGATATTGTGGCCCATAGACATCTACATCTATCCTCGATAAAGAATCAATAAGTTAGACGCGTCGTTACTCCTAAAGACATAATGCTACATCGCTTGTAAAAATGGTTCTACTCGTACACTCACCATACGTAACACAGCAGCATCAAGCTACTACTTTACGCTGGTATTTTGTGTGAGCTACTCTTTTCCAGTGGATCCCAACCATTCATGTTGCAGCTACGAATATAATATAATATAAAATAAGGAATTTTGTTATACAGTTCTTATAATTAATAGAATCAGGTGTTACTTTGCGGAGATCCATTATATTAAAGTTAGTAAAGATTACCTCGTGTACATCCGCTTGATAAAATAAAATGATGTGTCTTACCTAGTATGAAGAGCGCCTACCGCCCTCCCTCAATTTTAGTACGATTCTTATGTTTTGACTACCTCGTTGATCTAGTGGTCGTTAACGTTACTAACGTGGTGGGACCAACAATCAGCTATTGAGTTTTTCAGTCAAGAAATTCTCAGTAGCAGACTCCGCAGCTCGGAGTAAATCACTTGGCGGTGTTTCACTCCCATGTCTCGGAAAGTACGTAAAGCCTTTGGTTCTGCGCCTGATCTTTAGCTGTCATCCCATCGGACTATTAGAGTGAAGGAATAGAGAGTGCCCCTGTGCTTGCCCACACTCGTACACTATGATTTTTCCTGCTTAGGACATCATTAACATTCTCATGTTTAACAGTTCATCATCAAGCGATGACGAGGACGACGGATCATCAAGCGAGAACCAGGACGCGCAATCCGAACGCAGCCAGGAATCAGGGCGTCTTCAGAACCTGTCATCGACTCTCAATCGTGCAACGTTGACTCCGAACCACAGCAAGAGTCTCAGCACTCCTCACACCGGGCAGAACATTCAAGTCCATCCAGTGATGAAGTCCAATTCGAATCCAGCAGTTGATAAGCAGGCTATGGGAATCACATCAGGTCAGTGTTATATCAAAATGTAATTTAATTAAAAAAATCATTAATAATTTCTAATTTAAGTAAATAACGTTTATATTTTAACCTTACCTATTTACATGACCATTTATTTCACAACTACTTACGAATGTTTTTCTAACCTTCATCTATTTATCCTTTCTCTCCTCTCACCCCTAAGTACCTGGACGTATTATGGCTGGTATGATAATTTTTAATAAACAATTTTGCATGTATTTAGACTTTTATTCAGTATTTTTGTTTTTATTTTTAACTGTTCTTTATTTTATTTACTTGTAGTATTTGAACTTTGATATGAGCTTTGTATTTAGTTTATGTATAAAGTGACACAAACTTAGTTTTTGTTATATTTGTATCAAAGATCATTCTAACTATTTAAAATCACATTTTATATTAAAACACATGTTTAACTCTAGGTACCCTATCTTCGCCTAACAGCCGCCAATCTTCAGAAGACAGTGGCACTACAGCTAATCAGCCTACGATGTGGCTCGGAACTGAGGATGGCTGTATACATGTTTATAATTGTCTGGATAATATCAGGATCAAGAAGAACAAGATCAAACTGCAGCACAATTCGGGTGTCCATTCTATTGTGTAAGTGTGACTTTTTTGGAAATACATAAGTCTAAAATTTAGCATTCTTGTATTCATGGTATTTCTTCGGTAATATACACATCGTTTCTCGCAATACCGAAATGCCAAGAAAAACTTCATGGCCCCCGATAATGAGCAAATACCATCTCGTATATTATCATCATCATCATTACAGCCCTTCACAAGTCCTCTGCTAAACATAGGCCTCCCCCAAGGAATGCCACAAAGCACGGTCCTGAGCCACCTGCATCCATCGGCTTCCTGCATGTCTTACCAGGTCATCACACCATCTAGTGGGGGGACGCCCTACGCTTAGTACACCGGTACGAGGCCGCCACTCGAGAAACTTTATCCCCATTGGTGGTTCTTCGAGCTATATGGCCGGCCCATTGCCACTTCACCTTACTAATCCGTTGGGCTATGTCGGTTACTCTGGTTCTACTGCGGAATTCCTTATTTATAAGTTTTTCACGCAGAGAAACTCCTAGCATAGCGCTCGCCATAGCTAGCTGAGCGACCTTAAGCTTCCTCATCCGGTCAGCAGTGAAAGACCACGTCTCAGATCCATAAGTCATCACTGGCAACATGCACTGGTTGTACAGTTTCGATTTCAAGTTTTGAGGTATAGGTGACGAAAAGATGTGCCGTAATTTTCCGAACGCTGCCCAGTCGAATTGAATCTGTCGATTGACTTCTCGGTCGAAGTTGGACTTACCTAGTCGGACTATTTGTCCCAGGTAAACATACTCCTCAACAACTTCGAGCTTAGTGCTTCCAACAACTACCGGTATAGGTGTGACGTGGACGTTATACATGATCTTTGTTTTGTCCATGTTTATCTTAAGACCTATCCGTTGGGAACCACTATTGAGGTCATTGAGCATAGTGCTTAGGTCCTACAGCGATTCTGCCATAAGAACTATATCGTCGGCAAATCGAAGGTGACTGATGTACTCGCCGTTGATGTTAATACCGTATCCTTTCCAGTCCAGAAGCTTGAAACCGTCTTCCAGTGAAGCAGTGAAGATTTTCGGGGATATAACGTCACCATGTCTTACAACTTTCTGCAGTTGGATAGGTTTCGTACTCTGGTTCTGTACTCGGATAGCCATCGTAGCCCTACTGTACAAACACTTTAGCACTTCGATATATATACCGACAGTCAACTTGACACCGTTGAAGGGAATGCAGCACCGCCCAAATTTCAACGGAATAAAAGGCTTTCTCATAGTTCACATACGCCAGACATAGTGGCAAATTGTACTCCTTGGACTTCTGTACAATTTGCTGAAGGGTATGTATTGGTCTACGGTGCTAAATCCTTTTCGGAAACTTTCTGGCAGATATATCTCTCGCAAAAACTTTGGAGACCTGGTTCCGCTCGATCGCTTCTTCAATACGAGTAGTATTAAAGTTGCGTAAGTCCCGCCCCATGCATTTGGAGATCTGTCTGTTCAGTTGCCTGTATGCTGTCAAATCTACTAAAGACTGCAGCTTCATTTCCCGTCTAACAGCCATGAGATTAAGAGTGTGATCGGAGAGTTTATGTGTTCTTTTGCGGCGGGTCTTGCAAAACTTAGCAGTTTCCAAGAGCTTGTCTTTCATATCGTCAGTGGTAGTGGTCAACAGTGGTAGAGCCACGCGGCAGCTCTTGCTGTCGCACGGATGGGCCGGCTCGAACCGGGGTGGTACCACGACCTCACAGAAAACCAGCGTGAAGTAGAGGTTTACCTCTGCGTTGCGCTTGGTGAGTGCAGGTGGCCGGAGGCCCTTTTTACTGGAAATGAGGCATTCCATCTTAGTCCTCACGGGTGACAACGCATCTACATTTTGATTTGTAATAGCGGATAGATGTAGATGTCTATGGGCCGCAGCAACCATTTACCATTAGGTGGACTGTGTGCTCGTTTGTCACCCTTATCCTATAAAAAAAATCGTCTACTGCTTTGCAATCTTCTAGGCACTGAAAACGGTTTCGTAGCTCGAGCTGAAAGGTTTTGGGACTTTGGATAAGAGCACGAGGGTGCCGGAGCTTTGACTTCATTAGACGTGACCTCACCAACTTAACGTTTAGGTTCAGTGTGCCTCTCACCATTCGGTGATCGCTACCAGTTTTCACCGTCTCGATCACTGAGACATCACTGAACAGTTGTCGTCTGGTCGTCATAATGAAGTCAATCTCATTTTATGTCGAACCGTCGGGGCTCGACCAGGTCCACTTCCTGTGGGGCCGCTTCTGGAAAAAATAGTTCATCATAAAGAGTCCCTCTTTCTTCATTAAGTCGGCCATATGCTGCCCCCTTGGATTTCGTTGTCCTATTCCAAATTTCCCTACCTTCAGCTCACCGTTCTCTCTTGTGCCTAGTATTGCGTTGAATTCTCCCATCACCACCGTATATTGGGTTTTATAGGAATGCATGGCTCTATGTATATCCTCATACATTTCCTCTACCTCCTCATCGGGATATGCCGAGGTTGGTGCGTAAACCTGTATGAATTTCAGCGAATACCGTTTGGTGATTCTGAGTATAAGGTACGCAACCCTCGTCGACACTCTCTCTGTCTTTACACGTTGTTAACGAGAGACGTGTGGACGATAAATCCAACACCTCCTAGGGACAGATGGTAGCCCTCTCGGTGATAGAACAAGTTGCCGGATTCGAGGATTACCATGTCCTCCCCCTCTCTTCGGACCTCACATAATCCTATAATATTCCAGCGCAACTTGTCTACCTTTTCTTCCAGCTCCAGGATCTTCTCGATAGTCCTCAGAGTGCGTGTCATCTTAGGTGGCAACCGAACCTCCACCGGAAATTCTTAGCACCCCCTGCCTCGCCGATACCATGTTCGCCACCGTAGCCAAGAATAGCCGTCTCTTCGTAACTTTAATCATGGGGGGTATATTGCCATAGTTGCCACGCTTGGCAAGCGGGTTGGCAACCGCAGTTTTTTAATTGTTGTTTTGCTGTTATCAGAAAGATGCTGCTGCCCATCTTCTGCCTCAATTTCCCTGTGTCGCCTCTTACGACACCCACGGGAAGATATGGAGTAGTGAGTATTCTTACCCGCCACTAAACGGGCTACATTATACTAAATATATCGTATATCAGTGATCGCGAGGGTGAAAACCGGCAGCGATCACCGAATGGTTAGAGGCACACTGAACCTAAACGTTAAGTTGGAGAGGTCTCGTCTAATGAAGTCAACGCTCCGTCCCCCTCGTGCTCTAATCCAAAGTCCCGAAACCTTTCAGCTCGAGTTGCAAAACCGTTTTCAGTGCCTAGAAGACTGCAATGAAGTGGACGATTTGAATGACAAGCTCGTGGAAACTGTCCATGCGGTCGGAGCTAAGTTCTGCAAGACCCGCCGCAGAAGAACACAAAAACTCTCCGATCACACTCTTAATCTCATGGCTGTTAGACGGGAGATGAAGCTACATTCTTCAACAGATTTGACAGCATACAGGCAACTGAACAGACAGATCTCCAAATGCATGAGGCGGGACTTACGCAACTTTAATACAGCTCGTATTGAAGAAGCGATCGAGCGGAACCAAGGCTCCAAAGTCTTTGCCAGAGATCTGTCTGCCAGAAAGAGCCAACTGTCAAAGCTGAAGACCGAATGTGGCAGCATCGTTTCCGGGGCACCTGAGATTTTGAGTGAGATTGAGAGGTTCTATGGGCAGCTGTACACGTCATCGTTGGAGCCACACGCAAGTGTGAGTAACGATCCAAGAGCGAGTCTTATCCGACATTATTCCGATGATATCCCGGACGTCAGTCTGAGCGAGATTAGAATGGCTCTCCAGCACCTTAAAAACGGCAAGGCCCCAGGCCAGGATGGAATTACAGCGGAGCTTCTGAAAGCGGGTGGAAAACCGGTACTTGAAGTCCTTCAGAAGCTCTTTAATTCCGTCCTCTATGGTGGCATTACACCGGAGGCGTGGAGCAGAAGTGCGGTGGTCTTGTTCTTCAAGAAAGGCGACAACGCTCTCTTGAAGAACTACAGACCGATTTCCCTTCTGAGCCGCGTCTACGTGCTGTTTTCGAGAGTCATTACGAATCGTCTCGCGCGCAGACTTGACGACTTCCAGCCTCCCGAACAAGCCGGTTTCCGAAAAGGCTTTAGCACCATAGACCACATACATACCCTTCGGCAAATTGTACAGAAGTCCGAGGAGTACAATTTGCCACTATGTCTGGCGTATGTGGACTATGAGAAAGCCTTTGATTCCGTCGAAATTTGGGCGGTGCTGCAGTCCCTTCAGCGATGCCAAGTTGACTGTCGGTATATCGAAGTGTTGAAGTGCTTGTACAGTAGGGCTACGATGGCTATCCGAGTACAGAACCAGAGTACGAAACCTATCCAATTGCAGAGAGGTGTAAGACAGGGTGACGTCATATCCCCGAAACTCTTCACCGCTGCGTTGGAAGACGTTTTCAAGCTTCTGGACTGGAAAGGATACGGTATCTACATCAATGGCGAGTACATCACTCACCTTCGATTTGCCGACGATATAGTCCTTATGGCAGAATCGCTGGAGGACCTAAGCACTATGCTCAATGACCTCAATAGTGTTTCCCAACGGATAGGTCTTAAGATGAACATGGACAAAACAAAAATCATGTTTAATGTCCATGTCACACCTATGCCGGTAATTGTTGGGAACACTAAGCTCGAAGTTGTTGACGAGTATGTTTACCTGGGACAAATAGGCCGACTAGGTAAGTCCAACTTCGACCGAGAGGTCAATCGACGGATTCAACTCGGTTGGGCAGCGTTCGGGAAATTACGGCACATCTTCTCGTCAGGTATACCTCAAAACTTGAAAACGAGACTGTACACCCAGTGCGTGTTGCCAGTGATGACATACGGAACTGAGACGTGGTCCTTCACTGCTGGCCGGATGAGGAAGCTCAAGGTCGCTCAGCGAGCTATGGAGAGGGCTATGCTCGGAGTTTCTCTGCGTGATAAACTCAGAAATGAGGATATCCGCAGTAGAACCAGAGTGACCGACATAGCCCAACGGATTAGTAAGCTGAAGTGGCAATGGGCCGGCCATATAGCTCGAAGAACCGACAACCGATGGGGAAGAAAGGTTCTCGAGTGGCAGCCTCGTACCGGCAGGCGAAGTGTAGGGCGTCCCCCCACTAGATGGAGTGACGACCTGGTAAGATGTGCAGGAAGTCGATGGATGCAGGTGGCTCAGGACCGTGCTTTGTGGCATTCTTTGGGGGAGGCCTATGTTCAGCAGTGGACTTGTGAAGGGCTGTAATGATGATGATGATATCGTATATTGTACTAAATATAAAATACCTAGCCTGGTAATCCTTTACCGCAGCAGAGTTAAAAGTGTTCTGTTCTGGTACGATGCGAGACTTCTGATACAATAACAGTCAATCCGCCTTACCAAGCGTGACGATAGATATTATGCAGGTTTTCTTGAGATGTACACCTTCATCGGTCGGAGATAAGATAATAGCTTACAATTGTAAACTTTATTGAAGGCTAATAAAACACAAAAAGTATAATTACTGTTTGTTAGGGATAGTTTAACCAGATCAATGCAATGACAAAAATTAAATAGAAATAGGCTGTTCGGACTTTGCTTGCGTTGTCGCCAATAGATGGCGTTGGGCGTTATTTGTGTCGCAATGTTGTTTAGGTAATAAAGGTAGAAGTAGAAACTTTTTTATTCAATATACATTATTAAAGGTAATACTTATTGAAAAGTAATTCTTATGTTAATTTACAAAACAAAAGCTTTTAAAGGTCATTGTTACAGGTATATGGAAGGAAAGGTGTTTGTTGCTCTTGGAAACGGCGATCTGGTGGTTTACTGTCGGGATATTGGTAAGTTTATTAATATAAACTTGTACTTGAAGCTCCCTCAGACAGAATTTAGTTTAATACAAGCTCACGTAGATATAGAACTCTCTTCATGTTTATTTTCCGCGGTAATTTTTTCCCCAATTATCAAAACATTAAATATTTAAATAATTTACTTCGCAGCGTAATATTTCTAACTTAAAAGTCAACATCAGTTCCGTCCCCGTTGAATAATTTATAGTAAAGCCTTTGGTTATCTAATGCCTTCATGGGTTGTGAGGTACTGTAGACAAAACTAGAAAAGAATAGTCTTAAACGTTAGCCAAGTAGGTAGTTTTTAACACCCGACGAAAAAAAGGCGTGTTATATGTTTAACGTGTGTATCTGAGTATCTGTGTCTCTGTATGTGGCATTGTAGCTTTTAAACGGGTCAACCTATTCAGATTAAGTTTTTTTCTCCCGACTTCAAAAAGGAGCCAGTACTCAAATCGACTGTATGTTTTTTTTATGTGTGTTACCTCATAACTTCTTACTGGGTTAACGGATTTCGATGATTCTTTTATTATTTGAAAGCTGGTTAATCAAGGTCTGATCAAAAATTTATATTGAAGTCGGTTGTACAAAATATTGAATTTTAAATTATTCGTTTTCAAGGTGTCTGAATCGTTCTAAGCTATGTTTCAAGAATGATTTGTTCAGTCGTTTTTTAAATTTTCAATTAAGTTATTTATAGTTTTATAATAGCGTTGACGGTTGTTTTTTTTTCCAAAATTGGTTCATCCGTTTAAGAGCTATGATGCCACAAACAGCAGACACATGCACGAAAGGATGAAATTTCTATGGTTTCCTAATAATATTAACGATTGTTGAAAGTAAACATGGATAATCCTGCAGATCACTAGTAGGGATGACAATATTTTATCTAATATCTTCTTTGTTTGATGTTACTTACATTAGTCACTTAACACCAATTCAAATTCAAATTGTTTATTGCATGTCACATTACAAATTTAAGATGTTACATTTGATAGGTATACATGTGACGCCCTGCAAGGGCATAGCAACACTAGAGGTTTACAGTTAGCTCAATTTTCACCCAGATATTATACAACAAAACGCATAACACTAGGGCGACACGTCGACTGTGTGTATATTTACACAAACAATTTCGACCCTCTATATTTAAAAAAATTATTAGACCTTCACACTTGTTATACATGTATAAGAAAAAAAATATTGCGAAGAAATGTGAAATTCACCAACACGCATTGGGGCAGCGCGGCGGACACTTCCTTGACCTAAAACCCTCTCAGAAATGAGAGGAGGCTTGTGCCCTTTAATTTTAGAAAATTGAAATTTGTCAAAAAGGTACATCATAACAGATTACCGCCTAACGATTTTAAAATAAAGTGACGAAACATAACAACTAACGAAACATAACAGTACTAGCCGCACCAAAATTTTTGTCGTCATTTAATTCTTATAATTTAAGTTAAATAGGAATTCAGCGAAGCGTAAACGCAAAAAATAACGCTGAAGTTCATATATTTAGGTTAATAAAATAATAAAACTACAAAAAACAATGATATTCCATCAAAAACATAAATGTGAAAAAGGGGGGAAAAGTTATATCGCTGTTCCAGGAACGTTGTACATTCTGTTCTGTTCAGATTTTAATTCTTTTACCGGCAGAGCCGACAACACCCTACGAATTAACTTTACCCCCTTTTTCACATTTATGGTTTTGGTGGGATATTTTTTTATAGATGATGATGACAAACGAGCACACAGTCCACCCGATGGCAAGTGGATGCTGTGGGCCGTAGATATCTAGATCTATTCTCGATTAAGAATCAAAATGCAGATGCGATGACACCCCTGAGAACTGATGATGGAAAGATGATGAAAAGATGGAATGCTTTGATTCAAGTAATAAGTGCGAGTCGGACTCGCGCATACAGAGTTCCGTACCATCGTAAAACACGTTTCCAGTAGGGGAGCCTCTTAATTAATTTTAGTATTTTTTGTTGTTATAGCGGCAACAGAAACACATATTCTATGAAAATTTCAATTGTCTACCTATTACGGATCATGAGATACAGTCCGCTGACAGACAGACGGGCGGAGGGAAGGGACAGACAGCGGAGGCTTAGTAATAGGGTCCCATTGGTTATCCTTTGAGTACGGAACCTTAAAAAGGGTCTCCGGTTTTCTACACTCACCATACGAAACACAGCAGCATTGAGCTGCTATTTTACTACGGTATAGCATGGTCCTTTTCCGATCGAGCCGACCTATTCATGCAACAACCATAATATAGCTGCAGCATAGTTTTACTAAAATTCATGGGCGGCGGTAGTCACTTACCATCAGGTGAGCCGCATGCTCGCTTGCCCCTTTTTCTATATAAAAAAAAACTTATACTGTTATTGTATTAACAGATGGCTCTTGGACGGAGCGGTCGACGATCCCGGTGGGCACGGGCAGCGGGCCCGTGAGCAGCATGCTGCTGTCCGGCGGCAAGCTCTGGTGCGCCACGCACTCCAACATCAAAATTATCAACCCGCATTCCTTGCAGGTTAGCGGGGAACGACATTTCTAAAGTTTCTCTTTCATTGTCTATAACTTCTCATCTTTAGTACAAACGAGTATGTTTAAAAGAAGTTGTGTATTCAACTATTTAATATATTTCATACGTGAATTTTTAATATCAAGAATAAGATATATATTGGAGTAAATTCCACCGTTAAGCCTATCAAAAGTCCACTGCTGAACATAGGCTCCTCCCATAGATTGGATTAATTGCCAAGCTTGGCGGGTGGGTTGGCAATATTTTAGTTGTTATCAGAAAGATCCCCCACCTCCGGTTTTATTTCACTCTGTCGCTGACCAATTTTACGAATAATTTATACCGCGTTCTAAAGGGCGGCGGATACGAAATCTTTTTGGCATTTATGACGCCGCCATCACCCAGAAAAAAATTATACATAGCGAACAACAGACCGAGATTTTCAAAGGAATTTTAATCTCGGTCTCTATCCAATTTTTCTTTTAAAAATATAATATTACTAAAGAATCGAAGCTTCATGTGTTCAAAACAACTCGATTTAAGACGGACTTGTTGGTTGAGTGATCGTAAGCACATCTGGTGATCGTGTAGTCCCGGGTTGGAATCTCGAGTCGGACTACAATCAGTTAGGGTCATTTAATAAGAAAACCCAGTGCCTGGGATAGTATTTAAGGCCTGAGATTTCTCCGATAGTGCAGATAATCGTTCTATCGGACTATGAGAGTGAGGAATAAGAGATTGAATGTGTACTTGCATACACACACACGTACACTATAATCCTGTCCTGCGCAAATGGTTTGTCTCCGTTGAGACTGCAATGACAAAAAATAGGTTTCAAATACATTATTTTATACGAATGAAGATAAAGCGTGATACATTTTTGTAAAATTTCCTCCATAGGTTGACGAAACATTCCAAATAAGTTCAGAAACGAAGCCGATAAGCCACATGGCGGTAGCTGGTGGTTCGATATGGCTGTCGCTGCACAACGCGGCGCAGCTACGTTGTTATAACGCGACAACTCGGGAGCAGTTAGCCGAGATCAACATTACGCCGCAAGTCACCAAGATGTTACATGGTACGGGAATTACTTCTTCATCCACCTGAACCTCAGACCAACCAAGAAAAACAGACGGAGCTCCGCGTACATTTCATTGTAAAAATATAGCCTCACGTACACATATTATTATGCGTCTAAAATCATTTGAAACCAACAACATAGTTTTAGATACATATATTATGTGCATTCATTAGTATTTTTTACGGACTGGTAAAGAAAGAAAAAAGAAAGATGTGTGCGTGAGTGCGTGTGCAGTTGAGGATGGTTTCAGCGTCACTTGAAAGTAGGCAGCGCTTCGTCTATCTTTCTTTTTCGGTATTAGACCTGAACGTACTATCATTAGTAAATTTTTTTGAAAATTGTATTTACGATACTAAAATAAAATTTCTCAATACTTTTAATGATTGTGATCGAATGTTTGCAGGTTGTGACGAAATAATTCGCCAACACAAAGCGGCGTGTCTACGAGTGACAGCGTTATTGGCTCATCGCGACACGCTGTGGGTGGGAACAAGCGCAGGGGTTCTGCTCACCGCTCCACTACACAACTCGCCTAACCCCCGAACTGGATCGTTTACTGTACCACAACTTACTGGTATGTAGCACACACGACATCTATGCACGACATAATTGGATAAAATGTGATAGGTATTACCTAAAAGTTACAAAATTATTTTATGTGTCTTCAACATAATATAGTAAATTTCAAGTTTCTTCCTCTATGTTTACTAAACTCGATAGATAGAGAATTAATCATCTTAATAATTTAGACTGGTGACGATATGTGTAGCCTTTATTATTGAAAGTCTGCCTATTGAAATTGAGAGAGATTTAAACGGTCTGAGATATGAACACCTAAAAGCGATATTATGAATTATTTGCTACATACAAACTTACTCCACTTGGTACGTAGCTACTGCAGCAGCTAGAAAAAAAAAATTTTTTCAATTCATGTAATCTACAAACCATGTACTCCTATAAACTTTGCAGATTTGTTATATTTTATATTTTTCTAGGTATCACATATGGTCACACTGGCCACGTACGATTCCTGACGATAGTTGAAAATCCAGTACCACAGAGACAGCCGGCAAAGCCTACTCAAACGCTAAAGACAAAAGCTTTGAGTCGGCGTTCGACTAATGCAGAAAAATTACAGAAACAAACCGAAAATATACAAAACAATAAAGAAACTTTGATTATATCTGGTGGGGACGGTTATGAAGATTTTAGAAGCTCAACGATGACTGAAGATGCAGGAAGAGAGGACTCGACAAATCATTTACTTCTCTGGAGAGTCTGAACGAATTTGATGGCCTACAGGGTTTCTCGCTTGCCGAAACGCAACCTTAGACGTTTCGTTTTAAAATTTATATATTGATGTTAGGTGTTCTTGTGACGCTTGTGTCGATAAGTTCATGAAGAACCTAATCGTTCATTGTAATTGTTTTTCGTTGATTATTTCAGCTTTTTAAAACAGCAGTGTATGATGGGATGTTTGTATTTTGCGCCTAACAACGTATTGAGATTATTAAGTTTAAGACATTAAATGTCATGTAATGCCATAAACGTTGTTTTATCGAAATTACGAAACATCTAACATTTTGCAGTATTATTTGAACTTTCACACTTATGGACCATCCTGGTCTGTTATGTACCTTATAGAGATGTTTTATATAAATGAAGTGTTCTAGAAAATTATACGTGTATCCATATCAAGGAAATGTTGAATGTCCAATATATATATATATTATAATAATTACTGTTTAAATAGTTGTACTATGGACGTTAAAGTTACAGAATATAGGGATACTTACTTAAAAAAAAAGGTCACTATAATTGTTTATTTATTTTGGACTATTAACAGAACCTAAATGTACAGACGTTTACTATTTAAAATATAAATAATTTCACCCTTATGTTGGTAATATAAAATAAACAATGATGAAGCTGATCGAATAGGTAATATTTTTTCTTTTGTTTATATAAGTACATCATCGAGAACCAGTTTTAAATAAGTATGTAAGAAATATTACATAATTAAATCCATTATTATAGTAGCAGTATATTATTTTACGCTTTTTGTACCACTGTTATTTAATAAGTTAACCATTTATTGAGGCTTGTCGGATAAAAATGACTAAAAAATTCACTACTGATTTTTGTGCAGACATTGATCAAGTCGGGTTATATACAAAAACAGGGGAGGTGTTTTTTTTTTTTTTTAATAGCGGTACCATATTTTATGTCTATGTTCAGATTAGTGTATTTATGTGTTGGATCAAGGATTCCTTAAATAATAACTCAAAACCTGATTGCTCAAAAATCTTATCTTAAAATGTTTCCTATCCAGATAGTACGTGACAAATTATAATAGGCTCGAAACAGTAGGTATCCTGTACTTATAATATTGCAAAATAATTAAATGACGTCGCACTAAATATTATTGTCTTTCATTTTGCATTTAAATCCTATAATTTTATTTTATTTTATGTTCTATATTATGAGGTCATTACATCCTGAATATACATAATGTATGTTTTTTTCGTTAAAATGTGCGAATATTTCATAAAAAGCACTTCGCCAGTGGTTATTTGCAAAAATATATTTACTATTGGCAACTGAAGCATAAGCAAACAAATAATAAGTCACTACCGCAGTTTTGTGCATGTACTATATTTGCCCATTATGTTTATAAAAAGTCGTGAATCAGTACAAGGACTTTTATTTGTAAGTGTACTAAGAAGTTACAATTGATTCAATAACAGTCACATAGATTCTTAATTATTCTAGATTTGCCTTAAGTCGATAATTTAGATCTTCTGTACGTACTTCTTACATATTCGTTATAAATTTAAAATACAATTTTCCACGTAAAGTATCGTAAATATTTTATGCACACATCGCAGCCACTTGATTTATAAATTCTTCAAGATTTTCGCCGTTCATTATTGAAGTATTACTTTTCTTTCCCCTACTCACAAAATATGGATCGACTTGCAGCTGAGCAGTTAGTTTTTTCAAAATGGTTCTCCTATCCCTCTCACTATCAATTTCCCTTTTGAATTCATGCCCTTGCTCTTTAATTGCTAATAAATCTATAGTAGAACAAATTAATTCTTCCGCCTTCTCTAATTCTTCTTTTGAGATTGTTGAATTGCCAATTTTAATATATTCTGAATCTTTTTTACCTCGAGCAATATAGTAAGGATCATTTTTTACTGACTTTACTAGCTCTTCTATAGCTCCACGTCTACCTCTAAATGATTTTGAAATGCTTTTATTTATAAGCTTTTTTCCTCTAGAAATAAAATACGGATCGTCCTCCTCTGAAGAACGACTACTTCTTTGAACTAAAATATAATGAGGTTGTTCGGCATACATTCTGTCATCTAGCACTGTTTGTGGTTCAGATGGTTTGAAATGTAATCCAAAATTAGCTGTTGTATCCATTAGATTTGGATTGCGCCGTAACCTTCTTCCTCCAAATACTTTAAATAAATTTTGAAGCTTACTGTATCGTTCTCTATTAGGCCAAGATGTCGTTAGCATGTCGTTGTTTTGCTGTAATCTTAAAAGTTTTTCTCTGTCGCTTTCAATATCGTTCATTGTATTTATGTATGTATTTTTTAATGTTGTTTTATATCTTCCTCTATTTGTCCAAATTGAATCGGCTTCTTCGTTCATTCCATTTAGACTATCATCTTTCTTTCTCCCACGATTGCCCCAAAATGGTTCTGTTTCCTCACGCATTAAGTTATGTATCAAATTTGATTCACCTTCTCGCCTTCTACCACGGTTCCCCCAAAAAGGCTCAGTTTCATCTCGAATCTTTGAAAACGGCGTAGTTAATAATCTTTCGGTTTTTTGCTTTGTTTCATCTCTTCCTCCCCTATTACCAAAAAGTTGTAAGTCCTGATGTGTACTCATTCTAGCTTCATCCTCTTGCCTTCTGCCTCTATTTCCCCAAAAGGGATTTTCAGAAACGGACTTATCTTCGATTTCATCAGAATTTCTTCTTCCGCGGTTACCCCAAAAAGGAGATAGAGATTCGTCTCTCCTACTACTAAATAAACTTTTGTAGCATTGTTTGCAGTTGCCACTTGTGTAGTCGTAAATATGCAAGTTACTATCATCCATGTCATTTAAATTTTCTTCAAAGCTATCCCTTCTACCTCGAGTGCCCCAAAATGGTAAATCTAGATCGGATTGTAATTTCTTTTCTTTTTCTTCTAAGTCAAAATCAAGTAATTTAGTATTTAATGGCATAAATATTTGTCCGTTTTCATCTCGTAAAGATCTTTTAAATATGTTTTCATCATTAGTCTTATCATGCATATATTGATGTTTTTTCTGGCTTGTTTTTTCAGTATAAGGTAAATAACCATTTTTGCCACATAAAATAGGAATCGTCAAAAGCAATAGAGATAGCAATAAGAATAACCATTTAGTCGTCATTTTTCTGAAATTATACAAAACTATACTTAGTTATTTGAAAACATTTTATATGGATATATAATTTTATTTCTCTAAATACATACAATTGGTTTTTTTTAATAAAATTTATTTTATTACTAAGCTTTTTAATTACTTTCCTCTTTGTAAATAGAAAGTGGAACACAATTAAAAAGAAATAGGTATCGTCAAAAGCAATAGCGATAGCAATAAGAATAACCATTTAGTCATCATTTTCTGAAATTATTCAAAACTATAGTTATCTGAAAACATTTAATATTGATATATAATTATATTTATTACAAAGCCATTTTATTCTTTTTTTAAAACATTTATAACACATTTAAAAGCTAGTTACGTCCCAATGCTGGTCTTAGGCCAATTCTCTTTACAAGAGAGGATTTTGGGACAAGGAAGGCTAGGCATCGTTGCGGTTATCAAATGTACTCTAAGATATTTTTTATTTCCCAGACATACAAGTTTCCTTACAACGATTTCCTCCAAGAGCACGTGGTAAATCAGCACATAAAATTGCAATTAACAAAAGTTTATGCTGCTGTTAAGGAAATTTTGAGGCGAGCGCTCATCTTCTGAGCTACCACGGATAATCCGAAATCAAAGAAATTTTTAAAAATGCTGAAATAAAATTAAGCATAATAAAATTAAATCTAATTTGTTTTTACTTACATGTTTTTCTATATTGACTATTATATTATCATTTCAAAATCATAATCACCAAGGATTTGTCAACTTTCGAAGACAATGTAAACACTAGAACGTTTATTTTCTTTCTGATTATATTTGGATTTCTCGCTGCTTTATATAGGAACAAGGAGCAGGCTTTAATCCCAAGGGCTGTCACAACGTATTTCATTTTTTACCCCGCATTGGTCGTGCTCTACTGGGATTGTGTGACTGTTATTAAATTAAAACATTGCTTGTTGCGTATTGCTTGTGACTCGAAAACGAGTAATGTGATAAGGGTAAGTACTATGTCTTAGTTTATCAATTATTTTTTTTTAATTAATATTAACGTACTTACGTAATTTGCTATTGTTTTTAACGACAACAGTTTGCTTTGTTTCAATGAAAAGTGAAATTAAAAACTTGAAGGCATGTATAGTCCGCCAGCACGCAAGGCAAGGCAAGAAAATGTCCATCGCGTTACCATTGGAGCGGTGTCCTTGCAATGCCTTAAAACACTCATAAATGAAGGGAGACCTGTGTCCAAAGTAATGAAGTGAGTAATGCAAACTATTTTTCAAATCACTCGGTTTTTAGGGTTCCGTAGCCGAAACTATAAGAACTATGCTGTTTAAACTTGGTATGTAGATGTATTCTATGAACCGCATTAAGATTTTAACACAAAAATAGAAAAAAAGTAATAAATTTTTTTATCAAACTCATACGTGTGGGGTATCTATGGGTAGGTCTTCAAAAATGATATTGAGGTTTTGTTATATCATTTTTTTTCTAAACGGAATAGTTTACGCGAGAGACACTTCCAAAGTGGTAAAATGTGTCCCCCCCCCCCCGGTAACTTCTAAAATAAGAGAATGATAAAACTAAAAAAAATATATGATATACATTACCATGTAAACTTCCACCGAAAATTGTTGCTACGGAACCCTTCATGGGCGAGTCCGACTCGCACTTCGCCGCTTTTTATTTTAATTTCTTTAAAATTGGATTCACTCATCTATTATAGTTTATAAAAGCCCACAGCTGAACATGGGTTTGCCTTATAGCTCGCTTGGCAGGCTGATTGGAAACCACAGTTTTTTTTTTTAAATAATTTTGAGTTGTTATCACTAAGATGCGGTTGCTCATGTCCTGTTTCAGGTTTCC